GAAGGCGAGCCAACAATTAAACCAAACGTAAGGAAACACGCGGTCGCAAGAGAAGATGGCCGCTTAGTCCCATGTAAAGGTGATGGAAGAACATCTGAGTTTCACCTGACTGAATACAGTGCTTGGCTTCCAAGACTACTCAGGCTCAGAAAGAAGGTAGGGAATGTGCCAAAGCTGAGTTTTGACCAATATTTATGCTTTTCAGATATTTTACGTGGCACGACAAACGGGCCAAATCGTTGGCAACGTGCTAATTCTTTACGATTTTACAATGCCAGGAGAAATACCGTCGATCATGAATATAGCGCATGGTAATGATGCTTTGAGAGATATGCAGCAAATGGATTTGACTATGGAGATGCCTGTTGCGGATGCAGAGAATCCTGTAAGTGCTTAGGTGAAGCAGTTTTTGTACCTTTCCCACCACTAATATTCGTAATTTACGTTGCTTTTTCGATTTTGATTTCATTCCATGCATTTTGTGCTGGACATTCTTTTCCATTTCTCACTTGCTAATTTTTGCGAGATTTAGCAACATTGTTCGGGATTTTTGCTAGAATAACCCTGACCTAGCATTGCACATTCATTACTTTTTCCAGAAGTGCCTCTTATATGATATTAGCAAATAGGAAGGATGAGTTCTGTAGAAAACGTATACCATTCTTGGGAATTTCAGGCATTTAGTTGCTGTTTAAGATCTTGATATTTTTTCCTCATTATGCTTAAGACCTTAGATTTCGAGTAATTTTAGTTCCACTTTTTAGTTCGTAGAAGGAATCGTGCCTGGTGTTCGAGGAGAAAAGTTCCTCAAGGTTCATCCATCAAAAATTGGTTGGGTCAACAACAAAACGCTACTTTTGAAATATCTGATCAATGATCCGACGTTTTTGTAAGTATCTAAGTATGGTTCCAGATTAAGTAAGAATTCTTATGCCGTGATACTTAGAGATGAAGCTGGTTATTTGAATACACATGTACCGTTCCTGCCACCCATGATTGAAGGGCGAGGAGTGTTTGTTCATTTCGCACCTGCTACTCTTGTCGCAGATCATATTCATCACACTGGAGATGGTTTGTCGCCATGGACTTTCCAAGGTATCAGGATCTTGTTTCCTAATAAAGTTCTGTAACATTCTCAACGGTAGCTTTAGGAGCATCAATGCACAATCGTGTTCGCACAGTGAAACGGGCGCTCATGCAAGATTCAGAAGGTGTTTTTCGTTTGACCAAACAAGATTGGC